TTTGAGACATCATTCACAGAAATGTTAGGATTCGCCCTAATCATTTGACTAGTAACCATTTTCAATTCCGAACTAGGACTCAATAATTCATCATTCACCTTAGAACCATCCTAATTTTTCAACAAATTAGCAGTGTTACCTGAAGGAATAGAAACAACATGAACTCCTACAGCCTTCACCTCACCAGGACCACCATCCTTCAACCCCTTCAGAGTGTTATCATTTCCAGGAATCGAAACACTAGCATCCGACTCCCAAGCCGACACAGACTCCGAATCATCTTCCGTTTCCTCCTCTGTAACTTCTTCAGTGTAACATTCCACTGCATCCATCGGAGACATCCCATCCACAATTTTCCGAGCCCGATTCTTCACTCTAAAAGCTTTCCCCTCCATTTTCCATTCAACCTTTCCAATCCCCGAAGCAACAGCTCCAGAAGTACTTGGCTTACAACGAGTTTTGTAGATCGTAGCTGATGACTGATCAATGACCCCAGGAGGAACCAAATCTTTCACATCCACTTCAGTCCTAACATACCGGACAACAACACTTTTATCCGGCGGTTTTACTTTCACTTCCTTCAATCGATCCGCTTTGGATGATGCACCCATAAGGACAACGGAAACAAAAGAGAAATTGCTACTACAACGAAAAGGAAATCGTCGGAGAAGTAGCACCGATGAACCAAGAACTAGATCGCACCACCGTTAGAGAGAATCAGGGGAAGAGAGAGAAAGTAGAGAGAGAAAGCAAAATAGTTTTTCCCCCCTTAGGATATGTCCTTATAGATGAATATATAAGAAAACGGGGATGGTTAATTGGGTAAGATGTTTGATGTCAAATATGTAGTTAAACAAATTAATTATATTATTGTGGTTTGAAAATCCTATGTACTCACCAGGCCTCCCAGCCCGACCCACTCAGTTTCTTTGTATCACATGTAGTGGTATGAAGGTACATGGATAGTGATGTTTGGATCTAATGAGAGATTCATATAGATGTAGGTCCTTTAGTATAATAAGAGGTTGTAAGGCCCATTAATACAAGATTATGATTATGTTTTGTATCAATTATGACATGTCATGTTTTAAATATTAATGAAAATTATTCCATCGAAAATGCTTTAATATTGATATTATATCACACTACAAATGTTTTAGGAAAAAATTACGCAATAAAAGAATACTCTGAATTAAATAAACATAAAGAAAAAGTTCTTAATTGTCCATAAAATTGGGGATGCCACTCTCTCTTCTATATTTCATTCATATGGTTTCTAGGGTTTTGGGTGTTAGTTATTAAAGGCATCCATATTATTGGTGCTTGCTTTCCAAGGAAGATTTAAAGATATAGCTAGTTGTATTCGATTATACATAGGTTAGATGATTGTTTTATAAGTATGTTGCTATAACGAGAAAACCATAGATCTCTAGGTTGCATCTACCCATAAATTGTTTTATGTCAATTCTATTGTGCAAATCTTTATCTTGTAACCTAGAAAACTCATCAGAGGCTTGAGAGGCGATTTTAGAAATAAGGATTGAAATTAAAGCTTAATAGAAGTTATATTGTGAGTTTACTACTTAAATTAACAAAGCAAATCTAGGAGTGCAATAATCTCTACTTATCTTCGTTAATTTATCTTATATGTTAGGAGTTATTCAATCTGATCTATACACATAGGCAAACAAGAGAATGAGAGAGAGATATATATATATATAGAGAGAAAAAAGAGAGATAGAGTGAGAGAGCGATTTCATTGATAGCTTATGAATTACAATTTTTATTGGCTTAGGGTTACATGATATCATATATATTTATATAAGTAAGTTGACATCAATTCTACCAATAAGACCAAACCCAAAAAACTCTAGCCCATAATTAATTTAGATATGAATTTGATATAAGAACTAACCCTCGACAAATCTCCTATTTAGACGTTGATCAACTAATATGTTGTTATCCAATATTAGACTTTGGAACCCCATATCTCTCTAGTCTAGGACTTAGCTTCAAGTATCTAGAAGGCCATTTGAAGCCATACATCACTTCAACCTCTTTGTCTTTACCACCTTCATAAAATTGTATTTTGGATTCTTTGTACCAATTGATTTCTTCAAATTCAGGGTCTTATCGCTTATTAGTTCTTGGATTAAATGGTACTTCATTATAATGTGTTTCGTCCTACTATTAAACAATAGATTCTTTGCAAAATGGATCACACTCTAGTTGTTACGATGCATGACACAATCTTCCTGTTGCATATCTAGTTTTAATAGGAAATTCTTCAACCATATAAGCTTCTCGCTTGCTTCTATAATAACTATGTACTTTACTTCTGTGGTTGAAATAACGATACTCTTTTTGTAACATAGACATTCAACTGAACAAGAACACATAACATGTTGTCTGTCTAGCGGCCATGAGGTCAAACCACTTTCATTAGTATTATGATGACTCAGTGGATAGATATAGGGGATAAATGGGATTTCAAATATTAATTATTATTAATAAATTGACTAGTAGTTCTTTACTTAGTTAAATTTTGATTTATAGGTGACCAATAGTCAACCAATCTCCCTATGCTAATAAAAAATAACTTTAATCTCTTTTTGTCATGTGTCACTCTAATACAACTCTCCATTAATATTATGCCACGTGTCAGGGAGATATATTAGACAAATCAATATCACAATTAATGACGTTCAAGTTTTAAATAATAGATTTTAAACTTTTTATAGAAACATTACTTTTTGTAATTATATGTTAAATTTGAAGTAATAACTAACTTTAAAATTGTGGTAAATCTTCTAATTAATAATTCATTTAAGACTATTTATTTAAAATAATTGATTAATAATTATAAATTTTTACTATAAAAGTTTAACTAATTTTGTAACAATGGTTTCCACGGGTTATAAACTAGTTATCATTATAAATGAATCAGTGCACCTACTACAAGTTAAGACTAGTTACAATATAAGAATACATGTTCATATTCTTATTTTATGATTAGGAGATTTCCTATCTATATACTTCTAGGTTTATTATTTGTATGATATAATATAAGTAATCACGTTATTTCATAAAACCCCCTTTACAACGAATTTTATAAATGAGGATATGTTTAATGATTTTTTATAAGAGTTTTTTTTATCATGACCATTGATCCACTTAGGATAGATAGAGATTTGAGACTTACGTACCCAAATTTGGAGCTTTTGAAGATGTTATGACAACATCCTAAACGGACTCACTTGCGCGATGAATTTGCAACCACTCGTGTGATATGTGATTAGTCACTTGTGCCTAATCTTGTTTGAGCGAATATAAGAAATGTTTAGTGTGCTTTTACTAATTTTACACGGAGACCAGGTTACAACCATCATTTGTTAGATGTTTTAGGCTTTGAGATGAATTTGGGAATTAGGTTTATAAGCATATTTTGCATTGCATTTTATTTACACTATTGTTTGGAATTACTAAGTTTTGTTAACATAGTTAATAATGTGTTTGGTTTTGAAATGTTTATTTTCCCAGCTATCGAATTCTTATTAATCTCTTAAATTTTGAAAACATTTTTAGGGGTTTACATTGTGTATGGATTATGCAAGTTTTTATACACCTAAGCTTTTAAAGCCTTACTTAATTATTTTGACTTGTATTCAGTATAAACGTTTTAGAACATGACTAAAGATGAAAGAAACTTTTGATATTTAGAAGATATTTACTACAATAGTACTAAAAATAAGACACTTTAACTACTGTAAATTTATGTTATTGTCGCATGCGCATACTTTAAAAAACTATTTCAAAATGTGAATGGTTAAGATCTTGTACACAAATTATTCTCTAAAAAATGATTTTTATTTTAGAAAATATTTTAAATTTTTTATTTTAAACGAATATTTTAATAGTCCATACAAAGACATTTACTATAACTAATTTCTCTCTATTAATTTCTATGTTAATTTATAAAAATCATGGAAATGATACAATTTTGTTGTTAACCATTACCATGACCCATCAAATAATTCTAAAAAAAACGGCAATGGAAGAATAGAAGCTTTCATCATAAACCCGACATCATAAACCAAAGAACCATCCTTCATCAATGGTGGCCCTCATCTTTATCTTACCATCATTCTTCCTTATAGTTATCCTATTCGTTGAGAAAAAATGCAGCCAACTAAAAAGCAAGACCAAACTACCATCTATCCAAATGAATATCCATTGGAAGTGATGTATATGATACTTTTATTACAAAGAAAAATAAATACTTAACTGAATATTTTAAAATGCTTAAGTTCATGTTCTCAAACTTTTCAAAGTTGCCACAAAATGTTCTATCCAATCTATACTCTACAATTCAACTAAGTAGGAATCAATTTAATTTTCCTAAAAAAAAGGAAAATTTTCAAGCCTTCAACTAATTTATAGCGACTAAAAGTTTACAAAAAAATATAGGTATGCATAGATGACGCATGTTCACCGAAATTTGATACCCATACAAATTATTAACCATTAACCATATTTCATAATATAATAATATCATTTTGAATAATACAAGCATATGGGTGAGATGTCGTTAAAAAACAAAGTAGAAAGAGAAATTTTATGGTGGTAGTGAGTCAGTGAGATGTCCTTAAAAAACAAAAGTTAAAAAGATAAATTTTATATGTAAATTGTGGTCCAAAAACTACTCTATTAATTGAAAGTTTAAAACTTTACCCAAATAAAAGACATTCATAAAGTGAAGACGATTTAAAGCAAAAGTGTGTACTGTGCCAACTGTTAAAAGCTCAGGGGTCGAAATGTAAATATTCTCATCTTTCTACACTGTTCCTCTCCTTTAAAACCCCCTTTTTTTCCGTCTCCTCACCACTCAGTCTGTCAACTCCTTTTATTTCTTCCATCTCCTCAAAATCAAAGAGAAGAGAGAGAAACCAAAAGAAGAAAAAAGAAGCAATCTAGAGAGAGAAAGAAGAGATCTTTGCAAGATGTCGAAGTTTGCTGGTCTGCTCGTGATTTGTGCTGTAATCCTTGTCACCCACATGATCGTGCTCGCATTTCCAGCCGTTGAGGCTGCTTCAAGCGGTGGAGACCACGGTCTCGGATGGCTTTCAACCACTACCTCCACCGTCGGCAGCCGCTGCCGTGGATCTATGGCGGAATGTCTCGCTGAAGGCGCAGATCTGGAAATTGACGACATGATGGACAGCGAAACCAACCGGCGCATTTTAGCAACCAACAATCGTTACATCAGCTATGGTTCATTGAGCAAGAACAACGTTCCTTGCTCCAGGCGAGGCGCGTCGTACTACAACTGCCGTTCCGGAGGTCAGGCTAACCCTTACACCCGTGGTTGCAGCGCTATCACCCGTTGCCGCCGTTGAGCGGTGGCGTTTGTTTATTCCTATTATTTTATTTGTTTAAAAAGAATACGATTTTATGTGAACTACTTTAAATTCATATTAGATTGATCCCAATCCTATACTCTTTTACATTCAAACCAAATTTCGATGATGATGCTAATAATATTCGAGTGTAATTTTGATTTTCTATTGTATGTTTTTATCAAATTCTAATTCCCTTTTCACAAACCCTCATTCCTTACTTACCTGTACATCATGCATTAGAAGCTGTACCTTCTTTGCTGTTCATAGTTGTACATCGTGCAATGAAAGTTGTTCTATAATGGTGTGACATTTTTTCCTTTTGCGAGTTATATCTATCTATATCTATAATTAGGTCATGCAATAATTTAGGGATGAAACACCCAAATCGGGGGCTATGAAATGTGTATTTTGATTTTGGGATGATGAGAGTGGTAGATCCAATCATTGAGCTTGAAAGAAATTCTTACCTTTATGCCAGGCTGGTATTTATTCTTTCGGTTCTTTAGTCAATTTTGGGGGTTTTATGACTTATCGATCGAGATTTGATAGGCATCTCTTGCAAAGAAGATGTGTTTGTGTGATACATAACGCATCTTTTAAGCAATTATACTTGATATTCAACTTTATAAAGTGTTGATCACTAAAAATGACTAGGGTTAATAAACGTAAAATTATTATTAACTATTATTTATAATTATTGGGTTTGTTAAGAAACTGATCAAACAAGTTATGTAAAAGGAATGCAAGACGAATTAAAATGACGGAACAAATTAGTAAAAACCAACATGATGATTCCAGACGGATTAAAATTAGTAAAAACCAATAGAGTAGATTAGACTGAATGGTCCCTGTGATTTGGGGTAATTTGTGAGTTTAGTCCCTAACTTATTTTTTAACTCGGAAGGTCCTTAAGTTTCGGTTTTGTTGCTTCTTGTCTCTACCACTCTTAAAAATACTATTTTGTCATTCCTATATTTTTTTTATTGTTTATATTATTATTATTATTATTAAAGATATTCATGTTAAATATGTGGGTCCCATCATCCCATCCGCTCCACACAACACACCGCTCTCACCCTTACCCATTTTTTTCCGGCTCTTCCCCTCCGATGAACACCTGCTACCTTGTTTGTGTCTTCTCCGGGAAGACCGTTGCCTTGCTTTTCGATAACTTATCAAATGCAATATTATACAAACATAAAAACCCACATCGATTATAAAAATACAAATTTGAAACCGTAACAGTCATAAAAATCATCATAAATTTAAACTTTTTAAATATAACCCGAAACCATAAAGTGTTTACAAAACAGTTTTCAAAACGTTTCCAACATCAGAGTTTTTCCAAAATCATAGATCATAACAAGAGGATGTGTACGGTCATGCATTCGCATTCCCGCGGTCATCCGAAGTACCTGAAACATAACCCAATACTGTAAGTCAACGCTTAGTGAGTTTCCCCAAAATACCAACACATAACCAAATAACATATATACAATAACATCATGCAATAGGTCCACAACTAAAAGACTGGATTATCCATGAGCCTACAACATAAGTCTGACTTGCTCTTGGGCCCATAACTTATGTCTGGCTTGCTCCTCGACCAGATCAGTCCTCGGACTGAATACCATCAAGCCCTCAATACGAGTCTGACATACCGCCCAGTCCTCAACTCGTATCTGGAATGCTCATGTGCCCTCAATATGAGTCTGACATGCCCTACCCGACCCTCAGTTCACATTTGGAATGCTTCAGGGTTTGTTGGCTTTCGCACGGAGCAATACAGCCTCAATCTAACACAATATGTCGACATATACCAGATAATAAACATATACATATAATCATGTAACATAATCACAGATAGTCCTACAGATCTATCAGACTAACATATCAATAACTACCATAAACATGCATATCTATCCCATACTCAGCATATCAGTGAATATCAAACCAATGGGCCGACCTTGGTGCATTCGACCCGTAAGTACAGAGAAAACTCACCTCGCAAACTGGACAAAAGCTGATAAGGTCTCAACTTTGAATCTCAGCTCCAACCGCCTCATATTCCAACCAAATTACCAATCTCAATTAGAATTCCCAAAATACCCTTAAGGTCAAACTGATGGGTTTAGAGCAAAAGAACAATCATATGTGCTCATGCAAAACCCTAAAGCTTGGATCTAGGTTTCTCTATTAAACATGCAATTCATCCAAGACTTGAATACCCTAATCTAGCATACTACAAAACTTGAGATCTATATAAATAACCAAATAAGAATATTACCTCTTTGATTGTAGTATCAAACTTGAATCTTCAAAGCTTACGAGAACCAAGCACCTCAAATGCGATGCCTCTAATGGCTTACAAACACCAAGGCAAGAGGATGATGTTTAGCAGAGAGGATGAGAGGCTAGAAATCGGCTCCAAGCTTCCAAGGGATCAGGTCGCTGATTTCCAATGCCTTAGGGGTCCTTTTATACTTGAGCTGCTAGGGTTTCAGTCAAAACCCTACTTGGATAACTTAGACCTTAAGCAGTCCACAGAACCTTCCAGAATAAGGCCTCCTTGGACGAATTCAAGATGGAATCCACCTTAATTTCGTCCATGCCCTAATCCATAAGGATTCTCAGCCACAAATCAATTATCTTATAATTGCAGTTCAGTCTCCTTTATTTAATCAATCTCTTTTAGTCGCAATAATTAATTCTTAATTAATTATTTAACTAATATTAATCAAATAAATATGATTTCTCTTTTAATATATTATTCTTATAATATATTAATAAACCATAATATCCTCTTTCTTTATATATCATCTTGTCCAGTTGCTTTGGTGAAGGCAACCAAAAAGGACCATGCTCTACCGGGTCAAGTACATACCAAATATAGTTATGGACTTAGACACTAATCCAACAGTCTCCCACTTGGATAAGTCTAACAACTAAATTTGCAAGTACGACTTCATGATCCGATTAGCAATCGTAGCTCTCATAAGCTGCTTTCAACTCTGATCTTACCAGTAACTTGTCCTTCAGATAAAGGATCGTACAGTCCTCCGTTCTAGATATCGTGCGGACAATTATGCGGAACAGTCATACTAATTGTCCAGCAATTTGTTTCTCGATCTCTGATTTGTCTGACATAGAACTTTATTGAACACATCAATTCAGTCCTGACCGGGCCCGACACATAAGTCAAACAAATCATCGAGGGGCCCAGATATCGCTTTTACCCTCTTAGGATAAAAAGAACAGATAAACTTCGACTTATATACATTTACCATTCACTTATCGAATCATGCACACCAATGCGTTTTATAACATCAAGTTACTGATGCGTTTACGCATTATCAATGCACAACCAACTTGTAAACAATAAACCATATATCTAGGTTTAAAGACTATATGATATTATCGTCTTGCGATCACTCGTGATAAATTCCATGAAGTGATGCCAGCAAGCGTGGGTTTAATCCAATGCTCAAATCTTATTCATAAGCACTCATGAACGTTGCAGCAAACCTTTGCTATGTCTAATACACTTTAGACAGTCTACAAGCCAATTCATGACAGTCTTCTTTCATACATACTCCCAAAGTATAAACGACTGTGGACTGTTCGAATAATCTTATTATTCAGGAAGTCAAAACATACAAAGTGAAACAATAGGTAAATAATTAACACAAGACAGTAACTTTACTTATAAATAATACTCATTTATTTAATCATTAAATGTTAATTACAATTTATCTATTACACGTTTCTAAACTATCTAATCTAAACTAATATCGTCCTTTACCCCCAATGCTCCTAGCGTGCTTCAAGTGCTTAACCCTACTCAGTCCCTTCGTAAGGGGATCTGTTGGGTTATCCTCTGACGATACCCTCTCCACTACGAGGAGTCCCTCTTCCACCCGATGTCGAATAAAATGATATTTCATGTCGATATGTCGAGATCTGCCATGATCCCTCGGTTCCTTGGTCAAGGCAACCGCTCATTCATTATCACAGAAAATCTCCATAGGCTCCTTTATGGCTGGCACAACTCCAATGAAGTTCTTCAACCATAGCGCCTCCTTTGACGCTTCGCTCGCTGCTATGTATTCTGATTCGCACGTTGAATCAGCTACGGTCTCCTGCTTGGAACTTTTCCAAGTTACTGCTCCTCCATTCAGGGTAAAGACCCAGCTTGACTGTGACCGGTAGTTGTCTCGGTCTGTCTGAAAACTGGCGTCACTATACCCTCGCACCCTTAAGTCATCACTCCCACCGAGGACTAGGAACCATTCCTTGGTCCTCCGAAGGTACTTAAGAATATTCTTGACTGCGGTCCAATATGCTCTGCCAGGGTTCCCTTGATATCTGCTGACCATGCTCAAAGCGAAGGTCACATCAGGGCGAGTACAAGTCATAGCATACATGATCGAGCCAATTGTGGAAGTGTAAGGTACTCGGCTCATCTCTGCTATCTCGACTTCGGTACTCGGACTTTGAGTCTTACTCAACTTGGCATTACTTTGGATCGATAACTCCCCTTTCTTGGAATTGTCCATACTAAAACGCTTTAGTACCTTGTCCAAGTAAGTGTTCTGACTAAGTCCTATTAGTCTTTTACTCATGTTTCTCACAATCCTTATTCCCAAAATATAGGCAGCCTCTCCGAGGTCCTTCATAGCGAAACACTTCCCAAGCCATGACTTAACCTCCTGCAGGGTCGGGATGTCGTTTCCTATGAGGAGTATGTCATCGACATACAATACGAGGAAGCTAACTATACTCCCACTGGCTTTGACATATACACATGATTCATCTTCGCTTCGTAGGAAGCCAAACTCTTCGACTTTCTCATCAAAACAAAGATTTCATCTGCGAGATGCTTGTTTCAAACCATAAATGGATTTCTCAATCTTACACACTCTATTGGGATGCTTCGCATCGACAAAATCCTCTGGCTGATTCATGTAAACATCCTCAGCCAACTTCCCATTAAGGAA